CGATACTACAACCTTCAACCCTCTCCTAATACTGTTTATACGCGTTCAAGTTACGATATTGCCAATAGTAATAGACCCGCTTGACCATTTAAAAATAGTGAAGTTCCCTTCAGACCTAACGATAAAGCATATATTTTCTTGACCTCGGATATGAAGAGATGCTCAGCACTATGCTCAGTCGCTTTTATTTTCTCTAACGTGAGTCAGGTACCCATTAAAGCTGGGTGGACTCAGGGATGTAGTCACATGTCTGAAACGAGATTCGAACTCGAGACCATCGGGCAAGCAGTCGAGTCTTGACCACATGTAGGTTCGACCAACTGAAGTATACCGAAACTTTAAGTAGTGTTTCGTACGGAACATATTTTTAAATCTGAAGAAGGCCTTGTGTCGAAACCTCCCTTTAGTTACCCGAGTTAAACGCGAGACACGGAGCTAACACAAACAAACATTCGAATCATCCAGCTCGGGTTGTTAATGAGATCACGTGGTTATTATATTTGTTCATACCTAGTGTGTAATTAGTGTTGATGTTGCTTGTTGGGATTATTAAACTAATTAACACCACTGTATCGCTCTAGTCTAATGGAAGCCTTACTTTTTTTATAAGGACGATGGAGATATAGGCCCATACCGCCTTCTTGTTTACAATCTACTTAACATTATATTACATTTATAAGGCTGTAGTAGGCTACACAATAAACAATAATTAAATACTTAATAAAACGGATTGATTCAACGAATAAATGCATTTAGGTACAAATAAAGAAAACAAATTAGCTACACTTAAAGCGTGTAGTGAGTTAAACTCCAATCAAGTATAATGCCTTACCCACCCCCAACCCCGTCCCACCCCCACTCCAGGCAAGGTGATCAGGGTCACGCTTCAACAATAACACTAATTGTCGCCCCTTAATGTTCCCCGTATAACGAAACAAAACTACTTATTGTTCCTTGACCGCTCTTTCTTAGTATGTATCAAGTTGATTGGAAATTTAGATTTAAAAAATAGATCCTAGATTTTCATGACAAAGTCTTTGAAATTAAAGCCCGCACAGAAGCTGATTGTAAATTTATAGTTATGAATAGAATAATCTGATTATCGTGACAAAATCATTGGAGTAAAGCCAGCAATATCGAGTCGTTTTGTTTAGGTTCAATTACGATAATTGAAACCGGATCTTGAAAGACTGAAGGGTAGAATATCGGGGAGGGACATGGCTTGTATTAAAAGGCAGCCGACTATAAAAATATCGTGAAGTTAACACACAACTACAACTCTAGCTCCCAAAGAGCTTGTGTCAGATTCTAAAGGAACTTGTATAAGGTAAACCAATACATTTTATTTTAAATATAGGCATGTAATTAGGGACTGGTTTTTGTTTTAAAAAATATAATAACTATAGTGTACCCCCCCCCCCCCATAGTAGTTTAGTTACTTGAGCTGTTTCTGTTTAAGTTGCTCGTGTTTTATTTATCTACCCCTAGTTTTAAATAACTCACAAACCGTCATAACGTTTAAGTTGCTATTGTGTGAGGCGGTAATGTGCGAGGTACGTTTTTTTTCTTATCTCTCTGTATCTGAAAAACGTAAACACGTAGAAAACAAAGTCAGTCACTGATGGTGTAGGTCGCATTGGTCGACTTGGCTTTGGACGGGGTGAGCGCTATTGAGGCAGACCATTGCTCACGCTCCATACATTTTCGTTGTTTCAAGTTTTCTACTTGTACATTGGACATACAATGTCTTAAATACGTTGGACGGCCAGAGAGGGGAGGGTGTCAGTGGACGGCCAAAGAGGGGAGGATTCAGTGGACGGCCAAAGAGGTGATGACTCCGTGACGGAGTTAGAAGATCTGAGGTGAGGGGCGGGGAGGGGTAGGCGCGCATTATTTTTAGCGTTTATACAGTTATTTTTTTTTTTTTGGGGGGGGGGGGGGGGAGACGACGACACACGCGCAAGTGAAATGTGATTAAACATCCTTCGTCTTAACTTATCCTTTGGTTATTCCACCCGAGGTCAACATGGTGCTTGTGACTGTTCCGCAATTCGTCTAACACATTCTTTCTTCTACTGTCTAAAGCAGGGGTTCCCAACCTTTTTTTTTACTCTAGAGCACATTCTAAAATATCGGTAGGGTGGCGGGCAACACCTATTTTAAATCGACAAACTCCTTCCAGAGACGTAGTGACCCTTCCCGTCACCCGGGGACAAAACTTTCGATTTGCACCCCCCCCCCCCTCAAACTTTCGATTTGCACCCCCCCCTCAAACTTGCGATTTGCACCCCCCCCCCCACCTCAAACTTTCGATTTCCATTCCCCTTCAACCTGTCAATAATGTTTATGAAAAAAATTCTGTCTCTGTCGAGTAGTGAGAGGCGGGCACATACGAATCGTTCGGCGGGCGCCGCGGGCACAGGGTTGGGAACCCCTGGTCTAAAGTATGTACCTAACTGTCCTATAGTTTCTACACAACTGTCCTATAGTTTCTATACAACTGTCCTATAGTTTCTACACAACTGTCCTATAGTTTCTACACAACTGTCCTATAGTTTCTACACAACTGTCCTATAGTTTGTACACAACTGTCCTTTAGTTTCTACACAACTGTCATATAGTTTCTACACAACTGTCCTATAGTATCTACACAACTGTCCTATAGTTTCTACACAACTGTCCTATAGTTTGTACACAGCTGTCCTTTAGTTTCTACACAACTGTCCTATAGTTTCTACACAGCTGTCCTATAGTTTCTACACAACTGTCCTATAGTTTGTACACAACTGTCCTATATTTTACACACAGCTGTCTAATAGTTTACACACGGCTGTCCTATAGTTTACACACGGCTGTCCTACTTCTCCCCCTCCCACCCATGTTTTTCACTCCTGTCCCACATTCACGCAGCTTAAGATATAGGCCAATTTTTTTTTTCAAACTATAACACCAACATATGCAAACAGTAAACACATTTCTTTGATATAGAAAGATACAACCTTTATACACTTTTGAATATAAAATATTTTCAAACTATGCATTTAAGGCTTTACATTTTTAAATGCCTTCTAGGTAAGCAATTATTTTAAAAAACAACAACATAATGCCTTGTTCAGATTCCCGCTAACAGGATTTGTGGCGAGCTGAGTTCTAAGAACAGTAAACATCAATAGCGGCAGGTGGCCGGAAATCAGGATTACGCAATGCTCTCTTGTCTTCTCTTGATGCGTGACCCTGTATGTAGGGCTATACACAGAAGGGGGGGGGGTAGGGTTGTTGTGGATGGGGGGACGACAGTCTGACGCTCCAGTGCTCATGGGGAATGAAACACATAATAAGCTTGAGTTAGAGAAGTACAATCACCTGTATTCAGTTTTATATTTTAAATTCAAATGTAATGAACAGCGACTAAACATTAAAAAATGGGAGTACGTTTTTTTTATCCATTCGTATCATAATGGAAGAGTAATGGAATTTTCTTACAAGGGTTTGTTAATTACCATTAGTGAACTATAACTTACCTACCTTTCTTCTATCTATGTTACCGCTTATCTTAACCGCCCTAACACAACTTTCATAGAAATTCTGATACTTAACCTGAGATGACATTATGATCTACTAACAACAAAAAATGTCGCGAGCCTGCCAGGATTCGAACCTGGAATCTTCTGATCCGTAGTCAGACGCGTTATCCGTTGCGCCACAGGCCCAGATATTCTATATCCCGATTATCATGCACACAAAGTTATCCACTGACACTGGCACACAATTGGTTTCCATTTGGTGAGTGTAGCAATACAAGAGTGTAACAAGCAGGGGTCACCGGGTCACCTAGTGAGACCTGGACCTTTAGTTTCAGCACTCAATGACCTTTACTATTTTGACTCCCCAAGTAACTGTCCCCAGCCCTCGATCTATTAATAATGGGCACCAACTCAACATTCACAATGGGAACCGTAAATTTTTCCGGGTCGGTTAATCTTGGAAGGGGGTGGGTAATGTCGGTGGCGGTGTAGGAATTACCCAGCAGAAAGGAGGACAGATTGAGCAAGATACTTTTAGATACAGAATAGCGCATACAGTCAGCTAAACTTGACAGCTAAAGATGTTGGTTGTTAACAGTAGCGTACACATTTAAAGATGGTAGCTGCAACTGTTGGCATGTTAACGTCCATGTAAGAAGCATCGTTTGAATATGTGCTTTAGATGCATATGAAGTTTTTTTTTCTTTAAAAAAATATTCAACTTGTTATGCTTCAGTGGATTTAAAGTGACGAGGTAAAATTATTTGAAAATATTTTTTTTTTCTACAATAGGATCTCTTTTCACAACCAAATTATTTAAATGTAGTGTCTATTCTCTGCCAACTGGGAATAGTCGATAAATATATCTACCAGACGTGGCCTATTCCCAGTCGGAAAATCGAAAATTTTATAAATAGATTTGATACGAAAATAACGAATGTGCACAGGGCACAGCGTGGTCGGAAGATAGCGTACATCTATCAACTCGTAAGTGCCGGGTTCAGATTCCATTAGGTCTTTATTTAAACCTATTGCGTCATAGGCCTATTTATTTTTAATGTTGTATAAGCTCCAAGCAGAATTACTTAGAGTGGAAGAAGTCTAGAACCAGTGGCGTGGCTAGGTTTAATGATATTCCTCGGCGTCACTACTTTTTTTTCTGGATATAGTAGAAAAAACATTATTTTTGACGATAAATTTTACAACTTTTCGATTTGGTGTCACCCCTAAACTTGGTGTCATCCAATGTGGACGGCCCCCCCCCGCCACTTTCTCGAATACATTCTGTTATTTTGAAATAGGGCCTATACATATTTTGAGTGCATATAGCTGGATATTATATTTTAAATTATGATATGAAATAATGTTTCAATATGACTGCCATCCAATTTCGATGATTATTTTCTTGACAGCTGAGAGTAAGATTACTAATTCAAAACGACGGTTGAAAATTATTTCCTTTCTTTTGATTTTCAGAATAAAGTTGCGGAAAGACTGACCAAATGGGAGTAATTCATTTTAACAATACAACGGAACATTCCAAACAGGACAAGAACGGTGAAAGCTATGCAGCTAATTTTGAATACTACCCATTTTTGGAAACAGAGAAATATTCTTTTTACAAAGGGGTTTTAAATGGCGAGACATTCACAAACACCCGCCATGGAGAGTTCTGTGTTTTGCGCGCGTTCAGGGATAAAACAGCTCAAAGTGAAAACGACTGGGTTGTCTACATGCGACGAGCTGACGCGTGCCTCGAACTGATAAAGAAGTACAACAGTCACAACAAACACAATATCTTCTCATTCCAACGTCCGCTGCTGACGAAAATCAACCGGAAATCGTCTTTCATCGGGATCTTCCGTCTATACAAACGCCACGAAAAGCATCTCGCTCGGGAGGAACATGTGGTTTTGGAGCCGTTTTTAGAAGGCGAGATGGTATCTTTGGACTTAAGCAATTCCTTAATAAGTCTACCAGGAATCTCAGAAACGGAACAAGGGGAGAGTGTTACAAATGAACAAAAATTACAAGCATTCTCACACTACAGCTGGCACCAAACCAGATCGCTAATCGTGTCTGACATACAGGGTGTCTATGACAGTCAAAAATCTGTTTTTAGATTAGCTAAAGCAACCATCCATTCCACCAAACGCAGTTACGGTGATACCGACGGAGGTATTTCCGCCATAGAGGACTTTTTTAACAACCACGTTTGCAATCCAGTATGCTGCGGGTGGCACAAGTATACGACCAACGAGGAGCAAAGTGAACCGTCTCAGTATACATGGCTGAACCAGCCAGATTAATCACACAGACGCCATCTTGTTTTGCTATGACAAGGACACGTGACTTTATTTTTAACTCACTAGCAGTTACATATCCTGGACAAAAAAAAAAGGTTTTCAAAAACATAACTAGAAAAGTTATAAAATAAGTAACTGGTCAAAACATCCAATTCATATTATAAAAAATGTGTAACTAGGTTTTAGGGGTCATCCATAAATGACGTCACGCTTTTTTGGACGATTTTTACCTCCCCCCTTCAAAAAGCCAGACGCCCTAAAATGACGTCACACCTCAGCCTACAACCCCCCCCCCCCCCTCAAAATTGCAATTTAATTTTTTTTTAAACATCGATATTTTTCCCAAATCTTGTCTGAACTCGGTCAAAATAGCGTATTTTAATCAATTCCTATTACAATTTATTAAAACAGTTTTCTAAAGCGCGAAATAACGCATAAAATTCGTTTTCTAACATTGCTTTTTTATAATGCAAAAATGTGACGTCGCACCATTTGAACCCCCCCCCCCATCAAACACCGTCACAAAATTACGGACCCACCCCTCCCACCTACGAGTGTGACGTCATTTATGGACAACCCCTTATCCAGATCAGCTCCGCCACTTATACCAAAAGTGCACACGCAAAATGTTAACCCCCGACACAACCTTGAGGGTTAGGGTTAAAGGTACCTAAATGCAGACCTTTTCTGAACAAGATCCGTAACTTTTATCTAAGTATGTCTCAATATCTTACTATATAGATTATAGATATAGATCCAAACTAAATAAGATACAAGATGGAAATAGGAATTAAGAGTTATGGATTTTTAAAAAAATGATAGTTTTTTTCTATTTAATGTCATGAGTGGTTTGTTATCTTGATTGAACAGGTCTTAAAACACGTCTAGATTGACATAAGAACTTAATGGATTAGAAACAAGAGATGTTTCTGGGTAATCAGATTGCAGAGACAGTAGATCTTGAAATGCCAGTTTTTTAAATTTATTATTAAGTTAATGTACTTTAGGGTCCTAAATTAAACGTTAATCACACTTTAAAATTAGATTTTTAAGGAAACTGTAGATGTTAAAGTTTTTGTTCCTGTGATCAATATTGTAAATACAAATTTCAGACTCAGGATTATCTTGACCAATAGTTTTAAAATTGTGATTGCTCATGCACCAAACTTTTAACTGACATCAAAAGCTACTGCATGATGTTTGTTTAATGTGATTGTAAAAGTGCTTCTTAATGTACTGTTACATGATTGTGATTGTTTTATATATGATTGTGATCCTGTACCTAAGATTCAATCTCTATATAGTTCAGTGTGATTTTTCAAAGTACATCCTAATCTAATGTTTAGTGTTGTGTATAAGGCTCACTGAAAACCTGTGCTTGACACTTGTCAACAGCTCACTGAAAACCTGTGCTTAACACTTGTCAACAGCTCACTGAAAACCTGTGCTTGACACTTGTCAACAGCTCACTGAAAACCTGTGCTTGACACTTGTCAATAACATATACAAGAAGGAACAACATACAATGAATCTCTTTCTTCTGTGTTTGTTCATTTCTCAAGATAATTTTTTTAAAACTGCCAAGTCTCAAAACTTACTAATTGTTATAGCATTTGTTGTGATCAAATCAAAATAACATACCAATGCATTTAAATATGATTAAAATACAACACAGCTTCAAATTGTTTATTACTTGCAAATTAATTTTTATTGTTATTCATGCTGTTTAAGCACAAATTGAATTATAATGCCCTAGTTACTTTTATTGTAAAATTATTTAAACTGTAGATTTAGGATAAAAAGCTGTAGTACTTAAATGTTATACAGTGTGTAATATAGCAACCAGTCATATGTCAATAAATATTGAATTACCTAAAGTTCAAATCATCAGATTTTAGTTTGTGCATTATGATGTGTTCCTGCTTAGAAATTCATCACATAAACATTGATCACTGTTTTAGAGAATGTTTTGAATGTATCTTTACAAATGTAAATAATTCACCCATGGATTTTTTACATACTCATCACTGCGCAAATAAAAATATTTTTATATTCCTGACATTTGTTTTGAGTGAGCATGTGATCAGTATTTTTTTCTCATAATTCTAAATTAATAAATCTCATGGCCTTCTTATTTTATATCTTTATTAGGTCTATACATCAAAATAGTACATTATGAATGAAGAAAAAAAAAAATTGAGTTTTTCATAGATTGTATTTGGTGAAGTTACTTCCCCTGAATTGGGAAAGGCATCTATGGTTTCTCAGCATAAAAAAGTCCCCATCTCTGGTCCCCAAGTTCTACTCGACCTAGTTTTTCCTTCCAGCCATCTACAATGTACTTGTACCCATCTTCATTAAACTCCTGAAATAAACAAGTGGTTAATATTTCCTGATTCAATAGGCCTACTATTTTTACACGATTTTCATCATCATCTTTTCCCATTTGTGCATAAGGCAAATGGGGCAGAGTTTATCTGGTTCAATGACCTCAGCATACAGGAGGATAGTGTGATCACCACTATGCCCAGCCGCCTTAGTTTCCTATTGTAAGTCAGGTAACCATTAGGTATGTCCTACAGACCCCAGCCCTGGATCCAAACTCGAGACTTTCAGGCTAGCAGTCATAAGCAGTTCGACCACACTTTCCTTTACAAGGTTTTAAATATCCTATAATAGCCTTGACAGGATCAGTTTCTAAAACCAAGAAATTAAAGAAAGTGTTACCAGCACAACACCCAACCACCATTACTTGTCACCAGTTAATGTTGGACATCCATTGGAGCCAGGTGGTCAAGATTCAAGCACCTGATCCCTTGACCTTTGTTTAATTATCACACCTCTCTTCCCAACATCTCCTACTAACAAGAGTTAATATAACCATCATTTAGTTATAAAAATAGCTTACTGCTATAAATTCATCCTTAATGCTCTCTGTTCTTGCAATTTCAACTTTTAAAATATCAGCAAACTGTTGAGTTCTGTCTTCTGCTCTTACGTTTACAAAACCAGCCTCTTCTAGTACCTACAAAAAATGTAAAGCTATTAGATAGTGTTAATTTTGAGAGCTAACTTATGCAGAAAATACATATTTGTTGAAGGAAGTGTTTTCAAAGCCATTTTAAAGTTCTACTGTTAGACTAAATCGATTAAAATATTTTCTACAAATAGATCCTATATAGGAAAGTATTCCTCAGCCAAAAATGGTTGATTTTATTTAAACAAGAAGAATGGTGTACATCAGAGCAATAAAGAAAATAGATAAAGAGTTTATTCACTATAAGTATGATTAAATAAATGCTAAAAATAAAAGCTTACTTTTCCATAGGCTGCAGGAGAAAGTAGATTGTACCCTCTTTGTTTCACGTAGGTTTTAAATTTTTCAGAATGTTCATCAGGACTGCAGCAGTAGTCAGAAATAAGAACTTTTCCTCCTGGTTTTAAAAATTTCTGAAAACAATTTAAACATTTATTTTATTGTAACATTTTTTTAAAAATATTTGTTTTCCAGTAAATTGAATTTGTTTGAACATATAATGTTGAGCTTCAAGAATTTTTGCAGCACATAAGGATATACTTTGGAATTAAAGAATTGACAACTAGTCAGATGTTAGTGTATGTTGTAAAGTGATACTATAGCACCCAGTAAAACTGTTATGAAGGCCAATCAAACAGCTGTGTCACACACAGGTTTAGACTCTACTAGCTAAAAAAATAAAGGGGGATAATCTCAGTAGGTAAATTGTCCCTAATTCAGATAAATAAAAGGGTAAATTCTAAATGGTGCCAAAGTCAAATAAACTCACAAAAAATTTCTTAAACAGAGATAATTTGTCTGGGATATGAAGGATAACATCACGACTATACACAACATCATATGAGGCGGCTGGGTATTCTCTCTTTGTGGCATCAGCTATTTCAAACACGACTTCATCAGAACCACACCCAACTTCCTTTGCTCTTGCTAGACCAATCTGTGTCATGTTGGATGACAGGTCAACACTTGTTACTTTTACTCCAAATGTCTGAGAAGAAAAAATAACATACTAGGTCAAAATATATCCAAGGCAGAATTTGAACTGATTCCAGAAAATTGTGCATGGCAAATTTATTTCCATCCTAAAACTTAATCCAGAGCTATTTAGCCTTAAAATCTTTGGTTATTCTCCTTTTAAAAAAGAAACAGCTAATAAACCCACACTACATGACGGAAACTACATTTTGTGTTAGAAATTATAGGAGCTTGAATATTATTTTTCTTGAAGTTGCTACTCAGCAAAAGACATTTTGTAAGATACAATAACACAGCAAAGTGATCTACCTTGGCCATGTAAAAAGCACCACCACCAATTCCTCCTCCAACATCAAGAACTTTCTGTCCTTTCTGTAAGTCTAAAAGAGCTACAAACTCCTGTAAGATTATCCATTATAATTTAAATCTTATTGTCAACAGAGAACATTTAATTAATGCTTATTAATTGTCTAAGTAACTTACTAAAAACACATGTATTTGCCTGTAACTAAATCATTTAATTGAAATGCAAAATCATTTAATTGAAATGCAAACTAAATTTAGTTTAACATTTATGATATAACATCAATATTTACTGCAACATTAAAGTGAAAGACAACTCTTGTTTTATTTTACAAATCTGACACAATTCACAGTTCAGCACTAATATTGACTAAGCCAGATAACTTACTTTTGTTGTTTCTATGCCACCTGTGCTTACAAATGTTCTACCAAATATCTTCTCATAGAGAAGAATACCTCTGCTGGAATACTGCTGGTTGTCAAGGAACTCTTTAAAACTTTTAAATCCATGATTTTGAGAGTTATCTTTCTTGACTTTCTCAATTAACCAAATCATTTCGTTGCTATCATTATTTTTCTAAACAAACAAATTAAAACCATGGAATAAGTGAACACTTATATAAGTTATTTAAATAACTAGACAAATATGACAACAATGTTACATTCTTTTAAAAATATATTTTCCTCCAATATTTTTTACTAATTTCAGTCTTACAAAAAAATAGCAGCTCTATGTTAAAAAAAAAACAATAACAAAGTGGCTATTTAATCTCTTAAAATTATTTACATTAGTATATTACCTCTGAACATGAATCAATGGATTTGGATAGAATCAGATCAAATCCGTAAAAACTATCTGAATCACATTGTGCAGTGACAGAAGAATAAAAGGCCTCATACACTTCAGCATCTCTCAACTTCTCTGAGCCTGTGTTCTCAGTTTCTGGTTAAGAATTATTTAATGAGATCCGGAGCTTAGAGTTGTAAATGTAAATATAAGTCTATCAAATAACAATAAATTGACCTACTCTTGCCTGTAGGCAATATGCATAGACAGAAAAGTTAGAATGGGTAAATACAAAAGCCAGCTCATTTGTAGATGATTTTTAAGAAAACCATGGGAATGGTTGTTTAAGTGGTGGGATACACAAAATTGAAAGTCTTGAGTTTGGTTCATAGACTTGAGACTGTAGTATTTCCAACCAGCTTCAGTTCCGAACTCAAACCAATAAAAGTAAAGACAGGTGGACAAAGTGCTGACAATACTATCCCTACATTTGCAATGGTCAGAGAAACAGAGAAACTCTACTTCTGCTCCATGGACCATCTGGTAAAAAAGGGTACTTTTTAACAAATTGGCTATTATTGGCAGGGTATTTTAAAGCTCTTTAATGCTAGCATCATTTTCTCAACCCTAATCATTGCATTACCTGATTGTCTACAAGACTCTTTAAAAAACACAGCTCCACCAATTTTCAGCCACTGAATAGATTTCCTGAACAAGTCTTGGACTTCGTTGTCATCAAGGTTTGTCAGCAGTGAGTTGCAATAGATGAAGTCTACACTAAACCCAGTTTCAAATGTTAACATGTGGTTATAGAGGGAATGGCCATAGATGATTATAAAAACACAAAATAATTTTATTTTAATCTTTAACTATAGGTTACATAAGACAAAATTTAAATAGAAAATTCACCTTTCTACACCCAAATCTAGTTTGTTTAGCTCAGATGTGATAAATTCAATTGAATTTTCTTTTTCAGGCTCGGCAGGTGAATCATTTACAACTGCAATCAGTTTGCTAGCGAGCTTGGCCAACTCTTTAGTAAAACATCTGCAAATTTAAATATCAACAAAAAATTCTTGAAAATAATACAAATTAAAAAATACAAGAAAGGAAAATTAAGAAAACAATAAAACTTTGATACTAAAACAAATATTGTTGTAAAAAAATGAAATTTTGTGGAAAAAAATAAAAATAAACATAATTTAGTACTACATTAAAACTATTTCTAAAACATCCATTAATTTTGTTTTACAAAAGAGATAACTTTATCTAATATTCAGATTAATTCTTTTTTTTTTTTACTTGTCATTTCCAATAAAATGGACAGCTGTTTTTCCAGTTAGTTCTGGCAAATAAGAGAGAATTTCCAACTTTTTTTCGCATGATGAATGTTCATGTGGCATCTCCAAATTCTTGTACTTAACTAAGTCTTACTGAAAAAAGGTGTTTCAGAATTATTTTTTTTTACAGTAAACATGACAATGATAACATAAAATGTTGGGAAACACCATAAAAACAAAACATACATACCTATTCAGTATTCACTGAGATTTGAATTTTTTTAAAATGTGTCAAATCTTTTTCTTAAATTACAAGTCTAGATCTAATTAGAATAAAATTATAAAAAATTTGAAAAAAGTCTAACTATTTTATAATATAAATAAATGAGTGGGAAAAAACATCTGAAGATAACAAGAGTGAGTCTATCAATAAACCTAAAAAAAATAGGTCATAAATCAGGAAAAATCTAGTAACTAAATCTTAATTCCTTAAAAAAAAAAAAAAAAACCCCAGAAAAACAAGGGAAGTAAGTAGATATTACATTTTAGGGCTAATAACAAACAATAATTACTTTAATACTTTGACAGCAGGCCTATAAAGTAGTTTGGACAATAGGACAAGAACTATGAATGTCTTAAAATATCTGTTTAAAATACCCGATAAAATGGCTATGCCTAATTTAAAAATTATTAGGCCCTGATTGTTATATTTGTTTGTCTTTAATAATATGATGTATAATATGTATGGATGATCAGTATGATGATTATAAAAATATCAATATCACATTTTTCATAACACAAATTCAATCTAAACAAATTTATTTTTAGCATAAATCTTATTTAATTTCAAACTTAAATACATATTAATAGAATTACCTATAGAAGTTGTTTTTATTTTTATGTTAATGATTAATTAAAGTTATAAGCCTTAACATTAGCTCTATCATGATATTGTCATTGTTAGAGTAGGCCTACCTACATATAGACCACAAGCATTTGACTTGATTGATTCAATTAATGATTATTAAATATTAATCATTAACATTTTTTATAAAGGCCTAAACAAGTACACATAGACTCAGTCTACAGTCTATCATCTATGCCTATATCTGAATTTTAATTGTTGTAGGCTATCATTTTTCAGTTTGTATAGCCAACTATTAATTGGATAAGTTATAAGAAGTAATAAGAGTAATAAGTATATCTGTATAGATCTAGTGTGATAAAGATAACATAAAAGTTAGTATAGGATTTTTAAAAACCCAATTCAACATCAATATAATGACCAGATTTAGCTTTTACTTTGTGATATCGCTAACTCTTTTCCCCCCCCCCCCCCCCCCCCCCCCCCCCCACATCCCTTTCCGCATTAAACTAGGATTGACCATGTCTAGGAAAAACGATGTTTAAAAAAAAGTACTGAGGTAACAGGCTTAAGTACCGGTAGGAATGAGCAAAAAAGCAACATTGATTAAAAGACAAACCTTTTATACGTCTTAGAATGTTCGACCCTTCACAAAATACAACTATCAGACTTATATTTTCTTGAACTCAAAGACTACTGAGCCCTCACCAAAGTACCGTAAAACTTGTGTATAAAATCATCTGTTCTCCACGCCATAAGTTCACGGGTTCACGGTCAAAGGTCACACCATAGCTGTTGAAGTATTTATTTATTCCCTAGGCCGGCCTGAGTTGAAGAATGTCATTATTCTGTACAGGTCCACTGTGTTAACAATTATTAAATTAAAATGTAATCATTAGTTTCAGTAAGTTAGGCGGAATCAGAAATTCTAAATAATTATATTCTTTATTGATGTAAAGTTCCAATAAAATATTTTCAGCTGGGGTTCTTGCATCTTCATCTTGAAAAGAAAAATAATAGACTCTGTAAGTCTAAAAAAAAAAAACGTTTTCCACTAGAATGACGAGTTTCATTTTTAGAATAAAATAAAACAATAACATTAACAGCCCACAATATTACGGACTTTACCCTGCCAATCTAGATCTGCATTGTTTTCTTAATTTTTTTTGCTAGACTAGGCCTATAGATTTGCATTAAATGGTAGGCCTAGTCTATCTAAAATGTCCATTAAAAAACGACGTCACAGTTTTTAAAACGATCTAGGTCTAGATCTAGATCTTTATAGATCTACATCCTAGTGACTAGCTAGCTAGATCTCACCTCGTCACACACACACACATTCACACACACACACATCTTATAGTTTTAAAATTATGTCACATCTCAGCAATCCCCCCCCCCCCCCCCCCACCACTTTAAAATTGCTTTTTGTTTCTGAATTGGGCGATTTATTAAGAAAATATTAACAGCTCGGTCAACATTGAGTAGGCCCTATTAGGATCAATCTGAATTTCATTTAATAAAAATAAGTCTTGTTTAAAAATGCTAAACAACGGCTAAAATTCATTTTCAAACAATGCTTCTTAAATTACAAAAGAGCAGGGCCGTCACAGCATCTGTCCTGTCCTCCCCCCCCCCCCCGGTAAACGGAAAAAAAGTCACAGGAAAAAAAAACACAGAAAAAAAGTCACAGTTTTTGCTAGGAAAAAAAGTCACGGAAAAAAAGTCACAATGGAAAAATTTTATCGGAAAAAAAGTCACAGAAATAAAGTCACAGAAAAAAAGTCACACAAATCTTTTTAGAAATATTTTGATTTATTTGTTAAGAATTGTAAAATTGTGTATGTTTATTGTTGTGGGTTGTATTTTTTGATAGCTTAAATTATTTATAGACGTTAAAAGCATTATGGTTTATACAAATTGTAAGTAAAAATACTCTAAGATAATTTACACAACAATCTTAACTTTGGTTACGTATTTAGTTGCATACGCGGTAGAAAAGTTAATTATAAAAGAAATGTAGGCACATCATTGTGTTTTGCATAGGTTTTGCCGTAGGCTATTCTATGGTCGGCCTCTCCTCAGTCGGCATTGTCCGAACATATTTTGTGTTGTTGACGTTTTTTGTCAATGACAGCCTTTGAACCTTGTCGGCTCTCTGTTTTGATCCTAAGTTTTGTTATGTAATGAGCGTGATAAATGTGGGCAGTAAAGGTGGTTGAACTAAGCATAACTATTGTTGCGATGAGTTGAGGGCAGTAATTCAGATGACCTTACCATTTCACGGTAATTTAATTTTAAAATAAAATACTTAAAAAAAACTTTTTAAAAAACCACGTTTTTCTTGTGGACTAAAAAGTAGAAAATAACTATTTACATACATTTGATGACAAAAAACGTGGGTACGTTCACCATCAAATTTCCCGACCCATCTGCCCGACCCACGTTTTTTGTCATCAAATGTATGTAAATAGTTATTTTCTACTTTTTAGTCCACAAGAAAAACGTGGTTTTTTAAAAAGTTTTTTTTAAGTATTTTATTTTCTCCTTTTTAGTCCGTTGCTACACATGAAAAACGTGGTTTTTAAAAAAGTTTTTTATATAGTTTATTTTCTACTTTATCTAATGACTTGATTAAGTATGAATTGACTAAGTGTTTATAAATACACGGACTAAAAAAATCTTGAGCGACCAGGATTCGAACCTGGGTTGTCGCGGCCACAACGCGAAGTACTAACCACTATACGATCACGGCCAGCGCGCTCACATCGATTGGGGCCGAAGTAACTGTGTCAACAAGCCTCCAGTCTTGTCGGTATCTTTAGAAATCATGTCCTCAATTTTATGGTCCTTTGGGCGTAATTAAATTAAGCTAATTACGGTCTCTAATTGCTAGTTTTTATGATTGCATCTGAAATTGTTAGGCGAAAGTAACCTGCATGCCAAATTTCAGATCTATAGAGCAATCAGAAGTGGGCTAATTTTCGATGTCAATTTTAACAACAAACACACGCGAAGCTGAGTTAATAAAAACGTGTTAAAAAAAAAACACGATGAAAACCGTGGACATTCTATTAAATGCTATAAATATTATGTTTAACATAATTACTATCTACATAATTCATACTAAATATTTTTAGATGAATTATAAAAATTACTATACGTAAACAACCTACACACATTACTTTACATTTAATTAATCCTAAGTTAATTTGCACTCTCTGAATAAAAGTATTAACAAATCCCATGCAAATATATATTTGTGACTTTTTTTCCTGTGACTTTTTTTCCTGTGACTTTTTTTCCTGTGACTTTTTTTCTGTGTTTTTTTTTTCCTGTGTTTTTTTTTTCCTGTGACTTTTTTTCCTACAATCCCCCCCCCCCCCCACGGATTGTATTTATGGACATTTTCAAATTAAAATTGGATTTGCTAGATTGCTAAAAGCCTATTATTTTTAAAAAAATGTATAGATCTATATATTTTACGGCATTTTTTCCCAAAGATAACTTTTTTTTCGCTTATGTTAACCTATCTGGTCAACTGATTAGTGGATGATCCCAACCTCCCCCGCGCCCCTTCCCATTAAAACACTATCTAATAGGCCAAATCCAAATTTAACTTTCACTGCCTTCAAAGTATCTCACTACGTATCTTAACGTAAAAACAATAACCAC